GGGAGAACGGTCAGTCTGATACGAAATGGTACACAGTCAACAGAGGTCTATATGGTCGGCCTAATATAAAAATGGCTCATTTATATCATGCCGATTCCTGAGATTTATCAGGGGCCATATGATTAATCATACATGATTCTAAGTAAGACAGTTTACTGATCGTTTGAATTCTGAACTCACAAATGGTTTAGATTTAATTGTTGACATAAAATAAACTCCTGACAGTTCAAGCTGCCATAACTCACATCATGACAACAAGGAAGATGAGTAAAATGTTAAGTAAAATAATCTTAAAAGCGTTGAAAACTAAACATGAAAAATATAATTCATATAAGTTAGGGGATGTACAATATCCGTGAAACATTACTGAGCTCTGGCCAAATAATTTACCAGGATGGACCATTTCTATGTTAGATGACACCATTGAATACCCCAAGCAACCAATAAAAAGGAAATTAAGCGGACGAAAGCGTAAATAAAGGAGGAAATGTCACTTTTTCGCCTTTACGGCGGTTATTTAGGAGAAATATCGATTTCGGGGGAAATTTGTCGACAATTATGCGTAACGTACAGTGTTTGAATATACCGCATCCCGAACTAACGTTTTCGTAAACGTCGACAAATTAAGGCACCGCTTAATAAAAAAAACAAAGCTATTGTCATAAAAACAAGGTACAAAATACTGCACCAGGCATTCGGGTAAGACGCATGTACACTGACTTCGTTTTTTGTTTAGCCAAAGTGTTCCGACATGCTTAGGAGCCATCACAAAAAACTTACGTGATGCAGGTGAGTGTCCTGAAAAACGTGTACAAGTGTTCAACCAAAGTTCGTCGGCAGCGGGGTTTACTACCATCTAGGATTGAAAATCAATCTGCTAAGATACGTTGAGCTTTGTTTGTGTACTTTTAATTTGACTCTTTAAATTTATATATCACTATTGATGGACTTTCTATGTCTAGAAGCTCCAAGGAACAGTTATGGCCTATACTAGGACGGATCATAGCCCCTACGTTTAGTGACGTGTTCATGATAGGGATCTACAGAGGGAATAGTAAACCGGCAGAATTCAACGAATTTTCTGCGGACACAATTTCTGAAATGAAAGAAATGACTGACGTTGGTCTTTGTAGTGTTAAGTTTAATAAATGCATAGCTATTAAGTTGGCGGCTGTTATATGTGACGCACCTGCTCGTTCTTCTGTTAGGTATACGGTAAATCATAACGGTAAGGCAGGTTGCGATAGATGTGCTGTGCTTGGGAGACGGCTGGAGGGGAAGACGACCTTTCCAAATGGGGTGTATACTTTAAGAACAGACGACACCTTCCGTCGTCAGACTCAGTCTGTTCACCATCAAGGACATTCTATTATGGAAACGCTTTCGATTAATATGATTATAAAATTTCCTTTAGATCCTATGCACATGGTGTACCTTGGTGTTTCGAAAAAATAGATAATTTATGGATAGATTTAGCACGCAGAAGACTACTGAACTTAACTCATGTGCAATTAGAAACATAAATAATTTATACCAGGTTGCGTGGCAAGTACTCCTTCCAACTTTCCGCGTAAATGCCGTACACTAGACTTTGTATCGGCATGGAAAGCTTCGGAATGTAGGTTGTTCCTTCTGTATTTAGGCCCGGTGATTCTTCAAAACATTGCCACAAGATTTGTACCTTAATTTCCGGCGTTTAGCGTTATCCATGTATCTGCTTGCACATCAGAAATTACATAATACTGTTGTAGAAACCGCCAGAATAGATTTACAAAACTTCCTTAAGGAATACGAATGATGTTATGGGTTTGAAAACTTAGTTTACAATGTGCATTCGTTACAGCACCTCCCTGACAACGTTCGTACACATGCACCTCTATATAGTTTTTTAGCCTTTCCTTTCGAGGTTACTTTCACGATATCCGAGACAAAATGATAAAGCGTAATAGAAGGAAACAAGATCAGGTATGTACTAATTTAAAGTGATAACTTCCCAACGGCTCTATAGTTACAGTCAACAGTATTAACGGACATAACCGTAAGTTCAGCTTCAAGTATTTGGCTGTGCCAAAGCATGTCATTGAGATATCGTTGTGAATTTTTTTGTGACTTCAGAATTCACGGGACGACTACTTCACTTATCAATAGCCGAACGGACGTGACTGAAGGGAATAGTCCGTGCAATTTTCTTTATGTTCTACCTCATTTTTAATAAACAATTTTTTGTCAAGAGCTTACTTTATTACTTACATGGGAAACTATAGAAGTGTTGAGAATGTGTGTTTGAGTGTCAGTGAACTTTTGATTAAATGCACATTCCTTATAAATAATACATCACCTGTTCCTTCTTTTGCAGATAATTTCAATAACAATGAATTAGCAATTGCAATGGAAATGCAAAACAATCGATGCCGAAGCTTCAGCTCTAATGTTGTATATACTCATCAGCGTGGAAGATGAAATTCCTTCTTTCGTTTGATCAATACCTGTGATATGACGATTGAGTAAATGGTTTTAAAAACTCTGTAACCACAAAACAAATTTTGCATACAAAGAATACTAGGAACCTAGTTTTGGTCGTCTATGTGCGTTTTGCTCTCAGGTCTAAACATAAGTGATCCAGGTTGCTGTAGATGGTCCATAACTAGCAGAAACGAGTGTTGTCGGTGGTTAGAATGGAACAGACTGAGAGAATTATCGTATAGTGATTGATAAAATGTCTGAATTCAAAATGCAGGACGTTGTCAACAAAAGACATGAAGATAATGGAGAATTCAATTTCACAGAAAAGAAAACCATACGTGGGAACTCCGAGTTATTACACTACAAGACTCAACCATGACCGCCATTGGTTTGAGATTTCAAAATTTATAGTCTCAAAATGCGAGAGAATGCGAATTACGAAAGACTAAATGATGTAATAATTGAATTCTATAAAGACTTAGCAACCACCAACTGGAAAGAATTTTTAAAGTGGTTCCCGATGTGAATCATAAATATCTCAACAACTTCATCGAAATAATACTTGTCTAATAAATATGATGTGAAGATGTCAATACTCGTTCAATATTGCCGTGGGTAAACCGGAGGAATTGGGTGATCCTAATCCAAAGATCAGATAGCACCATTAACGTCGGGATTTTTACAGACGGCCTAACTCCGTAAACTCAACCGGAGTCACCATAAAAAACAGTCATAATAAATGGGAGGACAGACAATGATGTCGATCTCCGGCTGTTTTGTTGTTTTAATGACCTCTGAGAAAGAGTAATAAAGACACCCATTACCTGGCTCCACGAAAAGAACTATATTGACACTCGGACAGATCTGTTGTATAATCGGAAGACATAATAAAAAAGAGGATGGATGTAAATGAATTAGTAACCGACCATGAACCAGTCGGGATAACCCACGACTGGTGAGACTTTAGGCGGTCACGTCTTTTCAGTGAATATTGTGTGGATAAGTTGCTTCTCTAAAAGTTTTTGCACGCACTCTTCGTTTATGCTCAGTGACCTTCAAACAAGCGACAGTTTGGAAATTGAATGGATACAGAAGTATTCCACAAAAACGTTTTTAAGAATGAATTTCGATCAGGGTTACTTTGCTCGATACAACACATTAGGGATGTAGCCTCTTGGAAGAGTTTAGTTGGACTTAGTCTTACATTTAACTCGAACTGATACACCACTTTTTACACCCCTTAAATCCAAATCACACTATGTTTGTCGAAATGCAGCACTACTATGGATCTAACGCGCAATAAATCGTCTTCCTTCGGCAGTTTTCTCTCAATTGGGATGAGCTACCAAATAGATTATATGAAACAGACTCCGCAGGACACTTGATTCATGAGTGAGATGAAATTCTAGACGACTTTCATGACACTAGAAAAGCTAGCAGACCTTAGCTTCAACAACCTAATGTCACGATAAGACAAGTCAGTCTAGACAATTGTGTGACTTAAACGTAATGTTTAATCGTTTAGATAATTGCATCATAGCAAATTCTCAGTTGCAGAGTAGGTCAATTGTTCTGGTATCAACGAATAATGCACACAATACAGACCCAGGTCATATATCTACAAGAGTTTCTTTCGCATTCGAAATTTTTCTGTGTGCTTTTGATCAGCATTTAATTCATTAGAAGTATTAGGTTACAAAGACATTAGTACTTTTCTGGATGTATGTGAGAGATCATTCTTATAGGCGTCAAAGTAACTATGAATAATTTATGACTAAGATAATTGTTGCGACTGAGTGGTTTCATTGCTAGCTTTACCTCAGGTATGTGCTCCACGTCATTGTCATTTTCGTAAGTTCACAGAAGTCAAAGAACAATTTGGCGAAAAAGTGTACATGTAACTGTCGACAAAATTCGTTCACAACTTGCCTGCTATACTCTCGAATGTGGCTTTATTCGTCCTCATATAAATGATATCTCCTTTTGAAGATATTGAAGCATGAAGAGTGGATCATGGTTGGTATTATTAATAACTAGATGAGTTTAAGCGAATTGACATGCCTGCCACCAGTGTGTGAGTTTCAGTCAGGGAAAATGGAAGTGGTCTTCCGTGCAGCAACTCAGCACTTTTAGAAGTAATCACCGACACAAGAAATATGAACGATTTCCAATGTCAACTTATTCTAAATCAGCCTACTGCTATAGAATGATATCTGGAATATGAGTTGATACATGTGGGTAATCTCGACGAAAATATGCGCCAAAATGAATGAGAAAAATGGTAGAAATAGGGAAAAGGGAAAGTTTTTGAAGTAATTCGGGTTGTTTGTTTGCCTGATTGTAGGCGGTGTAACTGCTGGATCCCTATGGTGCTTCACAGGATTTTTATCATAATTTATCATGAAAGTTTCATTGAAAAGAATTGTTTTCATCAAGGTGCCTTCAAAGGTACACCTTCATTTCGTGATGAAAAAAGTCAAACCGACATTCTCTTACTTCTTTTAAACATCAGTGTTTTAATGATGCTATGGTAACTATATAAGGACATGCAGCCCCGCTTTGATCGAAATAACATTGGATTTTCAGGATCACTATCATGCCAGTGTATAGATTTGAAGGCGATGTAAACATAAACTGTGTAGGTTTTTTCATTCTGCCTAATAATCCGAAATCATAAAGGTTTACTCTCCCGGAACATGGCTTATTAATCGAGACAATCTATATTTGACCATAGAGGTTTTTGGAATAACTAAAAGAACACGCTTGCTCAACGCTATATTCCCACTCCTCATCCACGAAAAGTTTTCATTCGATAAGGTTTGTTAATCTGTCCTGATAAAATCAAAATAGACTTTTTATACTGCTCTTTCTGCCTGCAACGTTGTGGATAGATTAGAAGGTAAAACTGATTATAGTCAATCACTGTATCTTAGATTACACGGTAACAATTGAGATAAGACAGATTGCTGATGTTTATCTTGGAGGGACACTTTTAGCATATTACTCGACGAATGCTAAGGAATTTTTCTCTCCATGTTCGAAAATGTGTTTGAGAACTATTCCCAAGAGAGATTTGCTGTTGCTTAAGACGATTGATTTTCCAGTAACGCAACTATTTATCTTAACACTTTTAGGGCGTTTCCCCAAGGCTAGAATATTCTGTTAGTTCTGCTATCAAATGTCACCCAGCTTCATGTTATTGCACTTGCTGTGTAAGTCTGTATTTATTCTAAGTCAACTGTTTTAGTATTCTTTGCCACAGTGCTGCTGTTATGATCCGTGAGTTTACACAGTTTTTTTCTTTCTTTAAGTTTCAAAGTACATGATTTAATACACTTCTATTATAAATGGTTATTTTCAAAATGATCTTAATTGAAAAGTAGTTACCCTCCTATTTAATTAACAAAGGTAAAGTTAATAATATGTATTGACATATGTTTCTTACTTAACTTGTTAGTCAATATTTCACTCTGTAATACTTACAGAAGGATTAGAAACGTTTTGAGACTTTAAATCTTTATATTTTTTATATGGTTTGCATTTAAAGTAAGTATGTCAACTACAATAATGAACTTTGATGAATAAAGCTCGAGTGTCATTAAATTCAATCTCGATTTTTTAGTTGTATGCCGATTTCACTTGTTGTTTATGTCTTGTACAAGACTGAATATTGTACTTCAAAAATGTAAATGGAAACATTTCTTTCCGTAAACAACTTCCACTGCAGTAAGTGAGTGATATCCTGATTCAGTCACATACGAGTGAAATAAGATATTAAATGGTCGCTATCTTGAAAATTATTTCTAAATGATCAATTTATACATCCCACTGGCGTTTGATATCATAAAGATATATTTTATGCACTAAATACTTTTTGTCCTTCCTACCAACGACCATGTAAATAGTAAAGTCGTTAAAGTACACATGGTTGCGACAATAATGCTAGTACACCTCTGAAAAGACTAGAGATAAGAGCATAGCGCTTTAGTTAATAATTTATAATTTGATATAGTTAGCTTTTGAAAAGTCTAATTACTTAAAATGTTAACTTATACATTTGCTAAAAACGCTCTTTTTAATTTGAATGTTAAATTTTAAGTTTTACTTTAAGCAATTATTAAACATCTGACTGACTTCTAGAAACACAGACTTACTTTAGGTGCACCAATGCATGCTTTCAGATTTTATACACAAAACAAAGTCGAAGACCAGAAGTTCTGGGCAACTATTGCTGAGTTGAAAAGTAATTTCAACCAAAAAATAGTTTGACCGCCTGAGAAATTTAACTGCCTTAATGTGTTGTCTGTGACTATTAGCTTCACTTCTGATAAGAAGCTAAACCACAAAGCGGTCAAATTTAGTTTCAAGTTACGTTGTTAAATGCATTCATATAAGCATTATAGAACCTTATCTTTCAGACATATTTACTTTGTAATGCATACATGGGTTTATTATTTGAACCAAAAATTGGTCTTCATACCTTCATTTCTAGAGGTAAACTGACGTAAATTTGTCAGTTGTTGTAGCTGAAGTTGTTATAGATGAGAAACCGATGAATAAGAAACTGTGGGTTCGGATTCTGCAACCTGGCAATACGTTTGTGTTAGTTCTCATATGGGAGAAATTGACTTGAAAAGTACTGTTGAAATAAACTCTTCAGGTCGAAGGTATCCAGTCAAAAGCTAATAAATGACTTTTCAAAAATTTGTTAAATATTTTTACTTTTTCGTTTTATTAAACAAGAAGTCGTGTGTCAAGAGTCATTATGTATATCACGCCGCCAAATTACTTTCATTAACAATCACTAAAGTGTGTCTTTTATTTTTAGATGTCTTTACAAGCCATTAACACCGACGCCAAGTTATCATCGAGCCACAGTCAACAGTGCTTTGAGATGCCGTTATCCTGAATCTGATGGGTCTAAATGCATTGTAGCATCTGATACTGCTAGTCATATAGCGAAGTCACAAAGTGCTTCAAGAACCTCTAGAAGCCCAAAGAGAGTAAGGTTCACATTACTTTTGACTACCGTCAGGCGCGTATTTTTATGGCATTTCAATGGAATAATATTCATCTATTAACATGTTTACTTTCATTGAGATAACCTGAGAATCGATTTTAGCTTTATCATGTAGTTAACATTTGTTCAGCAAAAAGATTAGTCTTTTGATTCACTCTATTGTGTATCAGATTCTAAGGCTCTATTTTAGGTTATTTCAATCATTTGTTTATAAACTTTTGGTTTTGTTTTAGGGGGCTAATGTAGATGGGCCATATTCGTACAGACCTCAGTGTCGACCAAGATCATTGTCTGCGCGTAGTCGTCAAAGTGAGTTATGTTTCGTTAACAATATTTACTATTGTTTCGTATACGTACACAATGTTACATTTAAATATATTATCTAAAAAACAATAGCATGAGTTCAGCAAAACTGGATCTGATATTGTCAAAATTTCTAGTGCAAGTATGCATTCATTGTACTAGATGTAACTGACTTTATTTTTTCAGTTATCAACGAAATGTTTAATAATTAATGCCGAATACATATTTATAAAAGCACTTGTTTTGCAATTTTGTCTAAAACTAAATGTATTCAAGGACAAACACTGGATTGTACATAGGTACTCAGTAAATGAAAGATATTGAAAAATACATCAAGACTATGGGCAATATTTAGAGGGGTTTATCACTGAAACAAACATTAAAACCAGTGATTTTATAATTATTATATATATAAGTCAGTATATTAGTTAAAAGTATAGTAAAGTTAACTGTAAATATACATTATGCCAATTTTTCATACAATCACATGGTTTCTTATGGAATAGATTCAAAATATAATAAGTATGGAACAACGTAAACGTTGATATTTAGAGATGGATAAGATGCTGAATGTATCTTGTAAAGAATTTGTTGCCAATTTTACTAGTGCCTTTCAATGAAATCAAGGCTTTAGTAATGGATTAAAATAGAATTGAGTTTCTTATTATCATCTTAAGAGATACTTTTCAAATATTTGCTTACATTATATGTTAAAATCAAAGTGATAGTAAAGTGAGTAGTGTACTAAGGTAGTTTTGCATGCATATCTAAGGTTCGAGATTGTTAATATTCAAAGCTGCATCAGTAAATAGGTTAAAGAATAAACATATCGAAATGTTCAACTAAATGTTGTATACGATGCCAAACTAGTGATTTGATGTTGAATATCTAGAAGATATAATCTACCCGTATCGTCTTTTGATAACCCAAGGTCCAAGGGTGGATTCGTACTGCTGACTCTGCAGAGGTGTGAGGCATTGAGATGTTTCATTAAAACAACCAGCATAACAGCTATGCCGCCTTCCCACAAGAGGGAGTGAGTTTAGAAACGGTCAACTCTAAAATGCACACCTCACCTTATCCCATGGATATCCATCTCCGACAGTAAGATCTCAACAAGTACGGAGCTAGCACGAAGATACTCACAAAAAAGTTGTGTGTGACCGACCTCAAGGAGTTGTCCCTCGAGGACTGCAGTGAAGTTCTCGCGTTGTCAAGACCACCCCTAAACCAATTTTGTTTTAAAGTACCTCCAGAAGAACCCTTCCACGGTGTGGTCAACCGAGAAGTGATAACCCCTCTCATACCTCTAACAACACTCAAGATCACTTTATTCACTGTCTTTTGCTAACTCTTACTTCAAGATTCTCTAGAATACGAATGGGTACAAGTACTCTTTTTGTCTTCTGAATTTCGTAAACAACAATAATACGGTGAAAGTGCAATGAATAGGAATTCCGGGCAGTGTTTGTATGCACGTGGCTATGTGAGAGCATTTCGAGAGGGAGTGCTGACTCTTCCTACTCTGAGTCGTATCAGGGAATTTCGGGGGACACACAAATGTTCACAGTTTGGTGAGGCAAATTTCTTATTAAATTATTCGATGATTAACTGTCTTTAAACATAAATTTTCATTAAAAAACATTTCAGATTACAATGAAATTTCGGTAAGTTATATCATGATTATTATTATTATTTCATTATACTACTAATTTAGTATTGTCCTATATTTAGAAACGTTAAGTGTATATAATGGAATTGAATTTGAAATGCGTAAAATAAACATCTATGTCAAAGTATCATAAATAACATTTCTTTCCTTTTTTGTTGTTGATGAATCCAGTCAGTTCAAATACAATCATTTCACAATCTGGTACATATATCCATTGGTTTAAGTTGCTTCATCCTATCACCACACCACGATGTAATTACTAAGTTAGATACTTATTTACTTACGCCTGTTACTCTCAATGGAGTATAGGCAAGCGTCCAGCATTCTCCAACCCACTCTGTCCTCCGCCTTCTTTTCTAATTCCATCCAATTCTTGTTCATTTTTCTCATGTCTATTTCCATTTCCCGGCGTTATGTGTTTTTTGGTCTTCCTCTTTTCCTTGGCATTGAGGATTCCATGTGAGGGCTTGTCTTGTGACGCAGTTGGGTGCTTTCCTCAATGTGTGTCCTATCCACTTCTAGCGTTTCTTCCTTATTTCCTCTGCTGGAATCTGGTTTGTTCTTTCCCACAGTTGATTGTTGCTAATAGTGTCCGGCCAACGGATCTGAAATATTTTGCGTGGACAACTGTTAATGAACACTTGTATCTTCTGGATACTAAGTTAGATAACAGATTATTAAAGGTATTAATGGTATCAGAACAAGCTATGATCCATATGTAAAGAAATTCGAACACTTCACTTTTAACTTAAGGTTTAGGCTGATGATCTTGTTTTCAGAAGAACAATTAAAGCTTGACGACCAAATCATCCAGCTCAGAGAATAAAACTCTATTAAAATCATCCATCCACCTAAGTTAAAGTCAGTCGGTCAGCTGTAACGCTGGATCAGGCACATATATACATCGATTCAAGTTGCCATATCGCATTAGTATAGCAAGATGAACACCGGATTCATAGAGGTAGTTAAGTGAATGGTATAATATATAAAGAAAGATTTTATGTTAAGGTGTAGTACAGGAAGAAAGAACTAGTTCGTAGAAAGAAAGATATGAAGCGATTTTAATTTCATAGTTTAAGGGAAGACAAAGAGTGTATATACCTACGACATTCTGATCGATTCTGAGCCATGTCACACAGGGTCTCCAACGATTGGTTACGATAGTCACGCGTACCCCAACCAAGTAGTCTGTATCTACCAACATGGCTAAGGTTAGAATTTAGTGACTTTGTGAACTGATGCCACGTTTTGGTTTGGCTGCTCCTCACTTTCTTCCAACCCCCCCAACATTAGTCAACATTGTGCCTCGTGTTAATCGGTGTTCAGGCATACGCAGCACGCGGCCCCAACTATCTCAGTCTATAAAGATTCACAATCTCATCTACTGATTTACCATCATCATTCTTTAATACTCTGCGATCCCACCTGAACTACAAATCTTCTTCACTATCTTAAAAGTTAACAGTTTTGTCGAACCCCAATATACAAAGAATAAATAATGAACGATAAAAATTCGTTTAATGATCATGAATCTAAATTGTTTGTTTGTTTGTTTATTTTTCTGGTTCATTTTAAACATACCATTATTGTAGTTGACATAATTGTACACTGCAATACTATCACAATACCACCATTTAACAATTAAAACTAAATGCAAATCATATGACTGATACAATCTTTATTATCCATTCATTTTTAAGCCTGTTAACTCATTATCCACATGGGATCTACGTGAACGGACAATTCGAGATGCACAAGATCGCAGGTAATTTATTATTGTTATTGGAAAACAAAAAAAAGAGAGAGAAAATAATGTACTTTAGTGATTAATTGCATTATAAGTTCATTTATGTATGGAAGAGAAGATTCTATAGTGTTATCTTATCACTGGGAGAGGAGAAATAATCAATACCTAGACACCATGGTAACATCTTTTAGCTGGATGATAACAATTCAGGTTATATATATACATATATATATAATAGGAGTTATAAGTGAATTGGATAGATAAAAAACACTTAGTAGACAATGTGATTTATAATTCTCTAAGATTGATTTAAATATTCTTAATTATATAAAACATTAACTGGCTTTTATCTTATTAAAGAGATATCATTTCAATGGTTGAAATCATGAGTCGATTGAAGCTAAACTACCACTGGAATGCTGGAAGTACTGGATGAATGTTTTGTCCTGTTGTGAGACGCCTCAACAGTGCGCATACATGATACCACACCATAGTGACTCGAACCTAATACCTTCATTCTTTTAGGTGAACGTTTATACTCTAGACCATTGAGTGAACATCCAATGGTGTAAATGTCTAACTTCAACTAATCCACGAAATTGAATGACACACCCAACATTGTCTTCAGTGAATTGATTTCTCACAACAGACCTGGTTGAATTCCATTGATCATTACTTCTCACTAGAAATCCAGGAAATTCCTCTTAAAGCCAATCACTAATAATCATTTATTGATTAATATCAGAAATGTTTTTGTGGATATTGTAGTAATTTCAATAGTTGAGATCATGAGTCAATTGAACCTAGACAACCATGGAAAACATGGATGCACTGGATGGCACTTGGATGCGCACTGCTAAGGAATCCTACAATAGGACGAAATGTTCGTCCAGTGCTTTCAACTTTTCCATGAGAGTCTAGCTTCAATCGACTCATAATCTCAACCATTGAAAGAGATAAAAGTTGAATATGTTTAAACTCTATTAAGTCTAATTAGTAATTTCTTCAATCGTAATAGATCAAAAGATATTCAGGGAAGGAGGGTTAATTCACTGTTTGATTCCTAAATCAGTCACAATCTCAGTAATTATGATAAAAATGATAATATTTCATGACTCTATTCAATGAATATGCTTCTATTTGCAATGAAGAATACTGAAATAAAATCCCTGTCTTCTATTGATTAAACTTATGATTGATCAGAATCAATTCACAAGAAACCGGTGATTAAACGGTCATTCAAATTTCATCCTTAAATGTCTATCACTAGTTTACCGACTATTTCACCTTCCTTTTTTTTTTTCGACATTTGTCGTTCTCTAAATTGATAGACAAGAAAGAAATCATATCAATCCCAATCACAATTGTAATGATAGTAACCCCTAATTGAATCTTATAGGTTCATGTTAAATTATTGGCATTTTTATATGAGTATATAAGTAATACAAGTGATTAATCTGAAAAAAAATTAGTTACTATGGTAACATCTAAATTACCGAAATTTATTAGGAAACTTACGCAGTTAGAAACTTTATCAGTTAAATATATGTTATTTGTAAAAAGAATACCCAATTTAAACTGTAACATTGATTGAATATCATCTTCTTCATTGTTGTTTTTTTTTCTCTTTTTTTGATTCATTCTGTTACTATAATAACAACAATGTCCAGTGATCGTTATTGGCATTTGTATCGATTTTGGCAAAATGAATATGATCGATTACGTTTACAAAGATGTTGAATTAAACAAACAAAATTAATTAATTTTATGTTCTTCCTTAAACAAAGAACACTTTCCATTACAGATTACTCCTACTATTACTACTATTATTATTATTATGATGATGATGATTGAAACTTAGATCTTATTATTTCTTTGACCATATTCACTATTCAAATTAGATTTGAATGATCATTATTTGACATATGAATATGTTTATTGTTTCAATTGTATAGTTGTCAATTCATGTCAGGAATTATTATGATGTCAGGTATTGAAGAGATTAGACTAGTGTTCACATTTTCATTATTTAGAGATATACTACTTAATTCTATGAATTATGTATGAATTATACTACTTAAAAAAGAAAAGATTTTCAAAACTTTATTCATGTATTTTTGTGTTTTTTTTTAGTTCTTTTAAACTTTTATTTTCTATATCTTAAACCATTTTATTGATCTAATGTGCCTTAATTATATAAAACAATAAAAAGATGATAGAACATATAAATATACTACTGAAATCCATTTATTTAGTCAATTAAGTATTATATCAAGATTTATAAGAAGAAAAAAACGAAGATCATATTCCAATACAAAAACAACAACAACAACAACAAGATTTTGAATGATCTAGTTCATATTTCAAAGAAAAAATCTATGGTATTCCTGTTATTTTTTTCAAATTTCATAATGATACTATTTACTACTTATTTTGTGATGTTTCAGTAGTATACATTTACAAAGGAAAATGTATATGTATATGTATACATCATTGAATGTATGAATTAGTAATGTTTTATTTATGATATTAGTGTATCAATCACAATAATAATAATAATAAAATATAAAGATTAGTTTCACAAATTTGTATTATTAATTCTTTATAAACAACATATATATAGGATTCTACTGAGTTAATCGGATGGAGTTTTGGGCGAGACTGTAAATTATGGACGAGTCAATCAGAAGCGTTTTAGAGATTTCAGGTTACGGTCCCAATTTCAGTGCTTAATGCTAACGTACGATGGGTTCACAACGAATTTTTTACAAAACGTGATCATTGAGCGGCTACAACAAATAAAACGGCGAGACTATAATTTGCGGACGAATCGATAATAGATCTCGGATTTTAACGCGAGAGCCTTTAATCCTTTTGGTTAAATAAACTCCTGGCATTATAGCTGATGTCAGTTCGTGATGAAAACTCCATATATAATTCCTAATTAAGGCAAATTATAATAATTATTGCGAACTGGATAATAAAAGCACCAGTAACACTGGCTGCAGCCAGGTACTATAATATATACGGATGATTGGAGAGCGTACAGACTCCTACATAGGCTTGGTTATGTGCATCGTGTCATTATCCACAAGTAGCATTTTGTGAACTCAACAATCGGAGTGCACATTAACAATATTGAAGGTATGTGGTCGAGGCTGAAAGAGTTTTTGAGACTTCACCATGGCTTCGGATGCCGACTATTCTGTAGCCTCTACTGCATGCATTACGATTTAAGAACCTCTGAACCTCTTTCTAACCTTGACAAGTTTTTGAACCACGTATAAGAAGTGTATCCACTTTATTTCCATGGTTTTGTATAACATATTTTTACTCTATACTGACTGTTTGCTGATTGGCTAATATTTCACAAGGTCACTTAAGATTCGTTTAAAGATCGTCCATAAATTAGAGTCTCGCCGAGTTCTGATCTCTGAACTGGATGATTTAGTTGTGGAGCTTTCATCGTTCTTTTCTGAACGACATTATCGACTGTGAACCATATGTGAAAAAATCTGAACACTTCACTTCACTATCTAAAGTTTGTGCTGATGATATTGTTCAGAAGAATATTGAAAGTATTACAACTAAACTATTAAGCTTAGGAAACAAAACTCTATCAAAATCAATCACCTGAGCTACAAATCTTTCCTTCCATTTGGTTTATACGAAATTCTCCCTTTTATCATAATTGAATTAATGGAAAGGTACAGACAATTGAATGATCGATAAATATACATGATTAATAGAAACAATAATAATAATATCCACTTCATTGATTACCAACTGTCGTTAGTTACGGTAACGTCGTCACCCTAACAATAAAATATACAATTACGTGATAAACCACTTCGCATATCCATTGTACTTGATACTTTGATCTGGTAAAAAAGGAACGGACATCTTTTGCTTCGATGATCGATAGTCATAATGAAAAGTATCCTTACGATTGTGATATTAACATAATCGCAACTCTCTTACAATCAATTTAAATTATTATGATTTAAATTTCGGTTAAGATCTTATTCGAGCAGCAGTAGTAGCCTATCTATTTCTATGTACCGTTATGATCATCAAATCATATAGTAGACTCTAGTTGAAAAATGTTGATCGCTTAAATATTGCTCGATGTATTTGAACCCTATTATTAGCCTTTGCCTTACTTAACTACACCTTATTCGATCTGACCATAAATTCGCTTCTGTATTTGCTCTCATACACACATATTCTCCTCTCTACTTTAAATTCGCTTGATGTGCTGGAATCACTGGTAAGCCGTTTCGTCCTAGTATGGGACTCCTCGGCAGCGCGCATCTACGATCCCATACACGGGGCTCGGACCCGTAACTATCGGTCTCGAACGTAAATACTGAACCTGTAGACCTCTGAGCCGGCATCCAACGGTGTTAATGTCTAACTTCAATCAATCTTCAGTATTACACGACCGTTCACCATTGTCTTCAATGAGTAACTGCCTCTACACAAGATGCGGCTGAACCCCATTGGTCACAACTTTGCACTAGAACTTTAGGAAACACCTCATAAAGCTAGTCACTAATGAGCATATGATGATTATTATCAGTGGATGTGTACTGCTGAGGAGTCCCATACTAGAACGAAACGGCCGTCCTGTACATCCAGGTTTTCCATGGTGATCTAGCTTTAATCGAATCAACTGAGGACAACCAATTATATTTGAACTCGATATTTTTGAATCACCTAGTAAAATCTGAGAACCATACATTAAAGACTCCATTTACGAAATATCAGTCAATCGTCCCAAACTTCATCGTTTTTTCGTTTCCATACCAATCATCTATTCATATGTTTATGTTAGATCCTTATTTATACACAAATTAGACTAATCTTCAGATTGGTAGGTTTATAATATAGAGATTTCAAGTGTTATCTCCTTTTAACGGTTACATGTATTGTTACGTATATTGTCAATACTCATCTTAGTAATGTTTACTTGTATCATCCCATACAAGCAAACAATACTGAGTAAATTTAAACTTCACCCCATTACACAAGCAAGTGGCTATCAGAACTAAGTAACTAAGTGGATAACACGATGATGTTTGAAGCAAACAATACTGTGGGTTCAAGGCCTGAAGTGAACATCAACTCTAGGATGTAGATACATCCAATTGACGAGTACTAAATAGGACGAAACATCCATCCTTGATTCCATTACTAGCCGTCATTCATCTTCTCTTACAATATTCATTTGATTAAAATGATACACTTTACTAAAATCTTTGTACTTGGGCAAAAATGTACTTTTAATATCATGCAAAAAAAGACCCTGATGCAATGGAAATGATGAGCTATAATAATAAATTATACTCATTTGAATAATTATGAAAAGTACTTTTTTTCATCAAATTCAGGTCAATGAATCAAGTGTAGATGGATGGCTGTCTTACAAAGTACAATATTAGGATCTTTAATTAGAGTGTGATTGGTAATAGGAATGAAATTATACAATAAATGACAATATACTGTGATTAGATGGTGGTTGGAGGTAGTCGACAGGAAACTCTGTACCCGGGTTTCGTGCTACTTGGCACTCGTCAGCAAGGTGTACCTGTAATCTTGAGGGAATTGGTTTTCGGTCGCGGCTCGTATAGCTCAATGGTAACGTCTCTGACTGTGAAGCTAGGTGACACGAGATCGAGTCCGCCAGAGAACACCAGTTCCCTCAAGATTGCAGGTACACCTTGCTGACGAGTGCCAAGTAGCACGAAACCCAGGTCCAGAGTTTTCTGTCGACTACCTCCAACCACCATCTAATCTCAATATATAGTGCCCGCAGTGTCGAGTCACCTAGACTAGTGGCTACATTGCAATATGATCGATAGCATTCGATCTGCACTAAATAAAGACTAGACATGCATGACATTGATCGCCACCTAGTGATCAATCAATTGTGACAATATACTGTATCACACAACAAAATAATTCCACAGTTAGATGTAGATATTATAAAGAATTCATGTTCAGTATAATGTAAGTAATTCTTGAATATATGACTTCAGCTAGACGAACAATGAAACCAAAGAAATACTGAACATGTTCTGTGTTCGGAAATGCAAGCGCTCAGTAATGAGCACATACGACTTTTTCAAAGATTGTACTCAGGAGATTCGAACTTGATAGCGAGCGAGATCATAGAGTTACCATCTCATGACTTATATTTTTAACTTCAGTCAGTATACAACATTGATCCACTAGACGTATTTATCTTACTTCTAACATGATTGAATTCAATCGATTATAAAGTTTCGAATGAATCAGTTGTTCTATACATTCTACTTTTCATTTGTCCCCTAACTAAAATTAAACCATGAAACGAATTATAGTTCAAAGAATGATAATATTATACATTAAATCAACAAACATTAGTACTTTGGTGAACGAGAACACAAGTAGGCACAATCGAATGTTTCTGAGACGCATCATCCCTTGTGGTTGGTGTGTGACGAAATCTCAGCACGGATACAGAAGGCTCGACTAGCTTTTACCAACTTGAGTCATTTATGGAGTAGGCGAGATATCCGTTGACCAACCAAACGACGAGTTTACTGAGCAGCAGTTTGTTTCGTCCTACTTTACGGCTGTGAAACATGGCCGATAAGAGTAGAGGGTATTCGTAGGTTACTAGCATTTGATCATATGTGTCTTCGAAATATTGCTCGTATATCCTAGGACCACCGAGTAAGTAATGTAGTTGTTAGGAAACAGATACTAAGTAACGATGGAAAATCAATTGATGAAGTAATGAAACTTCATCAGTTGAGATGGCTAGGATATGTGTTACGTATGCCCAATCACCGACTGCCTCAACGTGCGATGTTCAACGGTATAGGAGTAGGTTGAAAGAAATCTAGGGGCGGCCAGACCAAAACATAGGACAAATCCATGAAGTCACTGACAAGTGGATTGAGTCATGTTGGTAGGTGTAGACTACTTGGCTGGGATCCGTGAGATGATAGCAACCGATGGTTAGAGACCTTGAATGACATGGCTCGAAATCGTTTGTAATGACACAGGTGCATCCATTCTTTGTGTTCTCCCAATTTCTAATCTTCTAAATTCTTTGTGTCCCTTTATTTTTTCTCTTTCCAAATTTGTTTCACTGGATCATACTGCCTGAATAACATCTTCAAACCCTAATGTTTCCGGTTACTGCTTATACTTTTACTAACTCTACCACTAGGGATTTGAATTGACAACTGCATCTCCGTGCTAATGTGATATGGCAATTCGAACTGATGTATTTACGTACGAAGTTCTACGTTGTTGAATGACTGATTGAATACAAAATTAGAGAATCACTTACTAAAATTCAAGAACCATACAATAAATACTTAACTTGCAAAATGTCTATCAATTGTCTCAGACTTTATTGTTCCTTCCTTTGCACACCAATCATTCTCTATTCTCGTTCACTTCTCTTCAATGTTAGGGTAAATCAGGTTTGTAAAATGTGAAAACAATACATTGAATATACTATTGTACATATTCCTTGAATTGTCCTATACAAACCTCATTGTTCTTCTATTTCTGTTGTTATTTT